TCTGAAGGTGTGCATCTTGATTTCAGGCCTTAAAGAATTCCTACAGATATAATTCCAATTAACATTAGCTCAGAATTAAAAATCACAAAATATATGAGGAAATAAGACATCCTGGTTAGAAATCAAGAGAACCATCAAGAAACAAAATCAGAAGTTTAATCAAAATTTCAGATATTAGAAATGTTGTATATAAAATATAAAAGAGGTATTAAAAGTGTAAGAAATGACCAACTATATATTTTGAAAAAGAACCAATTAGGGCTTGTATAAATGAAAAATATAACCACTGGCATTTTACTTACACAGGTGAAGAGAGAATTAGTGAACTGGGAGATAGATATGAAATAACTACTCTGAAAGCATAGAAGAATGAGGTTGAAAATAAGGGAGGTAGGGTAAGAGAAAGGAAAGAGTAAGAAGGTACAATATACATTTAAGGAGAATTATGGAAAGTAATAATAGAGTAATAGAGGTAATGAAAGAGATGCATGTCCAAAGTTATAATGAAGGAAACATTTCCAGAACTGATGAAATAGAGGAATCTTTAGATTCAGAAATCCCTATAAATACCAAGCATGATAAACTGGAGAGCCCCATCTAGACCTACTATATTGAAGCTGTAGAATATAAAGATAAACAGATCCGGAAAAGGCTACAGAAAAGAGAAAGCTATGAAGGAATGCTAATATGTTGATAGCTGGCAGCAGCAGCTATGGAAATCAAAGAAGAGATAGACATTCACAATCCTTCATTGAAAAGTCAGTAAGAAGCCAAAGGTAATATCTAACGAATTAGCTCTTCAAAAGGCTTAGATTGTCTTAGCCTTAAGAAAACACATTTTTACCTATAACTGGAATGAATTGGCCCACAAATTTGAAATACAGAACTTTCCCCCCCTATATTTTCACATAGCCACTTGATCACTCACATGTCCCATGTGCTTCATTATCGTGGAGCTCAGTGTCTTGCTTTGAGGGTTCCCATGTCCCTTAAATTGAGTTGTCTAAGAACACTGGATACTTATACTCCAAAGGGGATTAGTCCTAAAGTCAGACGTAGAGGGAAATGAAATTTGGTCAGTTTACACCCCCCTGTGCAGTAACTTGTTCACTGCTGTATGTTATGTATTGCCATTGAATTTGGCCTTGAAAAGTTCTGTGGCTATTTTTCCATTACAAGGACATTTTGATGAGTACAGATCATTGCATAATCACTTTTGCTTATAACTTTCTTGAGTGACAATCATAACCTCCTGGAGAACAGTGGGTCACCCTGACTACATCACCACCAGCACCATTCTCAGACGCAAAATTACTGTCCTTATTTCTCAGGGTGGACACTTTCCTTCTCAGGGTGGAGGCAGAGTTTTAAAACCATAGGAAATACCAAAGATCTTATATTCATCTCTCCCAAGGCCATAACACCTGCTTAGTCTACCCTTATATGACCAGGGGGACTACTCGATGACCTTCACGGTATCTTCTCCAGGTGATCTTTTCTCCTCTGTTATAGACTGTGCGTGTCCCCTTGAAATCCATGTTGAACTCTAACCCCCAGGGTGATGATATTTGGAAGTGACGATTTTGGAGGTAATTAGGTCATGAGGGTGGAAGCCTCATGAATGGGATTGGTTCTCTGGTAAAAGAAACCCATGAGGGCTCCCTTGTTCCTCCCACCATGTGAGGGCACAATGAGAAGACAACTGTCTGTGAACAAGGAAATGGTTTTCACCAGGCACCCAATCTGCTGGGGCTTTGATCTTGAACTTGCCAGCTTCCAGAACTGTGAGAAATAGATTTCTGTTGTTTATAAGCCACCTAGTTTATGGTATTTTGGTATTGTAACCTGGACTAAGACATTCTTCTAAAGGAAAAGGTCACTTGGCTTCTCATTCACAGTCCACTTTCAGCGACTGATCCCAAATGGGTAGGATCTACTTGTACCATGCTGTAGCTGCCAACTTCTCCTGCTAGAGAACAAAACTCACAGTTTCTGGTGGGACAACTCTATCAGGCAAACTACTACAACTGAAATGCCTAGACAGACTTTTACCTGTGGGTTACAGGTATGCTTGTGTGAAAATCTCTCTCCTTTCCTCTTCTTTTTTAAAAGATTTATTTATTTATTTACTTGAGAGAGGAGAGACAGAGACAGAGAGAATGAGTGCTAAGAGAGAGAGGGAGAGGCAGACGTCCTGCTGAGCACAGAGCCCAATGCCAGGCTTGATCTCAGGACCCTGGGATCATGACCTGAGCCAAAGGCAGACACTTAACTGACTGAGCCACCCAGATGCCCCATCCTTATTTCTAAACAAGGGAAGTATGTCTGATGGTTCATGATTCTCAGTTCATGATTCTCAATGCATGATGTTAACAAATATTCAAATATGTTGTGGGGGAGGCTGCAGACAAATCTTAAATATTAAATCATTAGATATCAAACTCGTGTTCTTTTCTGGAAAAAAAGGTCTGATTGCTTGCCATGAATATTATGTTGGACAGAAGCAGCCACGCTTCTCTCCACTCAGAAAACTGACCTGTATCATGAGGACTGAAAGTAAATCCAGTACACCTAACCACATTCATTCTGCAGCAAACATCTAGAACCAGCTGTGGCCAGCACACGTGTCTTTATGTTTGTGTGTATATGTGTGTATGTACACAGGATACACTGACATTACTAGCAATCAGAGTACTTCCCTTGTGATCAGCTCCAAGGAGATTAAAACCTGACACCTAAAACCTAACCACTTGTAAAAGGGCATTTTATTTTTTATTTTATATTTTTAAAAGATTTTATTTATTCATGAGAGACACAGAGAGAGAGGCAGAGACACAGGCAGAGGGAGAAGCAGACTCTCTGTGGGGAGCCCCATGGGGGACTGGATCCTGAGACCCCAGGATCATGCCTTGAGCCAAAGGCAGACGCTCAACCACTGAGCCACCCAGGTGCCCCAAGTTACCAGGATTTTATTTTATTTTATTTTTTTCATTTTACTTATTTATTCACATGAGAGAGAGGGACAGAGACAGAGACACAGGCAGAGGGATAAACAGGCTCCATGTAGGGAGCCTGATGTGGGACTCAATCCTGGGACTCCAGGATCATGCCCTGGGCCAAAGGCACGTGCCAAACCACTGAGCCACCCAGGGATCCCCAAGTTACCAGGATTTTAAAGAAAAACAAGTGTTTATTATTTGTTGAAGAGTAGCCTATGCTGAGCTCTCATTTTTTTTTACATGTTATTCTACATACGTCTTGTCTCAATGTTTTTAAACTTCCTTATCATTTATTAGATATTGTCAAATAGCTCTGGATCCTTGATTTGGGGTTTTTTTTTAAGGCATAATAACACCAGAACTTTGAAACATCCTGTAAAATCCATGCCTCATAAGAAATAATAGAAGTCACTTTTATTGCAAGGCATCATTTTGATTAAAATATTTGAAACATTAGTACAAAAATAATACACGTTCTTTATTTAAAAACTTGCAAACAATGTTTAAGTATATAAAGTAAAAACTGCAAGTTCCCTATATCCATGATCCACCCCTCTTCCCACTGAGAGCCACTGTTAACAGTGTTATGTTTCTCCTTCCAGATCTAATTTCATTTCCTGCAACTTGCTTTTTTACCTAACACTGTATCTGGAGATATTCTAACCTCAATACACACAGAGATATTTTATCCTTCCATGGTATTTCATAGAACAGATGTGCCATAATTTATTTCTTTACTGATAGACATTTAGGTTGTTTTCACTGTTTCATATATAAAAACACATTTTTGGCAGTTATTTTTGTACACATATCTCTGCACATTTGTCAGAATATTTCTCTTGACTAGATTTCTAGAAATTGCATTAATATGTCAAAGGATCCCCATGCATGTTTCACATTTTAATACACTGTATTCATTTAAATATTTTTTAAAATGTCTTCCTGAGTTTTTCATTAGTTTAAGGTAGCTATATTTTTTGTTTGTTTAACGAGCTCCAGTGTAATCTCTAGAAAACTGCTGACATTGTTTTGGAGAAGCCCCTCTACAGAGGACGAAAGAAGCTGAGAAACCATGAAGGAAAGACTGCAAGCTCACCTGTGAAAGCCACGTAGCTCCAGTGTCCCTGGGTGTTCAAAACCACATGAAGAAATACTGTTTTAAAAATTAAAACCTTCCATAGTCTTAAATGATGCATTAAGATGTGCCTATTCATATGTAGATCTTCATCTCCTTAAATATAAAATAATCTTACGTGGCAGTACTTTTAATATTCTCACTTCTTACAAACTTCATATTTCTCATATAGACTTATGCTCATTAAGACTAAAGACAATGTTTTGCAATAAAGAGTGCTTTCAACAGTGCCAACTCCCCTGTCACTAGACATGAGTGAACACAGATATCAAGCCCAAAGAAAGGGGCAAAGCCCTGTTAGCTCTCAGCCCCAAAGAAAGAAAAGTATGCACATTTTCATACGCATGGCTTTCAGAGAAATCTCAGAGAAGCTGTGCGCTCATTTCTTTTTCTTTTCTCTTCTACTGCTCCCTCCTCCTTGTTCTCTGAAATAATCCTGAGATGGCTTAGTGATACAGCCTTTGGGGAGATGTGTGGCTGACCTTTCTTCTAAGTGTGCAGTAATCAACAGGTCTCTCTCCTACGTGAATTCTCAGATGCCAAGTAAGATGTTTCCTGTGACCAAGCGATTTTCTGTAGTAGTTATATTCAAGAGGTCTTTTCCTTGTACAAGTTATTGGATGTTGACTGAGGTAGGCAGGTGCAAAAGGCACGTACCCACGTATCCTAGGCTCAAGGAGTTGCTCTGCAGCATGAATGAGTGAGCTGAGTGAGCCATGAGCAGCAGCTTAAGGCTTTCCTACACTTACAGCATTCAGAGTGCTTCTCCCCAGCACCACTCCTCAAGTGTCAAGGGAAAGAAAAGGTGTTACGAAGCCTTTCCCACACTATTTGCACTCAATGTTTTGCTTCTCTAGTGTGGATCGTCATACGTCGGCTGAAAGAGTAGCAGGCAAAGGCCTTTCCACGTTCACGTAGAGCTTCTCTCCAGCGTGACTCCTGGTGTGTTGAGTGAGGGAGAAGCTGTAGTACAAATCTTCCCCACATTCTTTACCCTCATAGGGCTTTTGGGCAGTGAGGGTCATACTGTATCAGATAAAAACAGAGTGGAAGGGGAAGGTCTTTCCACATTCGCTGCCCTGGTAGGGTTTCTCTCTGGTGTGAATCCTCAAGTGTCAAGCAAAGTCTACCTTTTCACAAAAGGCTTTCCCACACCGTGGCATTCATCAGACTTCACTCCAGTGTGAATCTGCTGATGCTGAACAAGGAGAGGCAGGTCTTGTTGAACACTTTCCCACCTTCTTTGCATTTGTAGAGGGTCTTCGCTGCCTGAACCCGAGTGTCTATACTTGGTTCCTATGAGGCAGAGTCATGAATAGCATCTCCTGCAGTGTCTTACTTCTGTTAAAACCCTCGAGTACAGACTCTCATCTGTCCCCAACCTGTTGTGTTGAAGGCTCATCTTCTCCAGGAGGGTCTCCTTGTGGGAGACTATAAATGGTCTCAAGTGCCCTTCCTGCATTTCCAACAACCTTTCCTGATCTCTGGCTTGCCCCAACCTGGATGACCTTCTGGCTTCCTGAGTAAGTCTTTCCCGAAGCAAGGCCTCCTTAGACAAAGCAGGCTGGTCTTGAGTTTAACGGGTCACCTGGGCAAGTGCTTGCTTCAGCAAAGACCTCTATCTGTCTCTTACTGGTGCTGCAAGCTATTAGATCCACTCTGGTTTGAGAACTGCATGCTCCAGTGAGACCATGGGTCTGCAGGTCTCTCGTGGTATTTCCCAGAATAGAGTCCTCTGGGCCTGGTCCACCTGCCCTCAGTCCTTCCAAGGGAAGGTCACAGGCAGGTCCAAACACTGCCGCCTGGAACACCACCACAATCTAACAAGACAAAAGGTGTATGGTATGTAGCACTGCTTCCACCAGCACAGAGCATGCCTGTGACCGCAGATACCAGAGAGCACTGTGCCCAGCCAAGCATTGGGACTATAACTCCTGGGGGGCTTCAGTTTCACTTTTTTTTTTATTTCTGTGAATTGAAACTTCAGTTACCCTGGAAGGAAGTTCATATAGCAGTAGGAAGTGCACTCAAGTTGTGTCAGGGAGAAACTACAAACACGCACTCAGATATATATGTGAACATGCATGCAAGGAATTTGGTCATGCAGGGTCTGGGGCAAATTTTATTTGCTGCTTTATTCTCTGCACTGGCCCACAGAAAACTGTATGGGCTGGGTATTAAAGTCACTCCAGTCCAAATACTGGGTGTTGGAGGAGGCATGGAAATTTAAGATCTCTTTCATGTTGTATGTGGTTCTGTTATTATTTGTAAAACTACTTTGAAAAAGTTTGGCCTTGCTTCCTACCAGTCTTTCCAAAGAGAAGCTTTTCTACATATGCCTCAGGAGACATGTATAAGAATGTTTACAATAGCAAACACCTGGAGAGAGTCCAGGAAAGAAGGTGGATAAATGGCTTCTCCACAGAATGGAACATTACTCAGCAGTTCAAGAGTGTTCTAGCCTAGGCTGTAGCAGGGAATTGGAAGCATCGCAATCGGCACTGCAGAATCCTGGGAAGTGCCAAGTCCCTCTGGAATTGGTGAAGAGCGGAGGCCATCGTGGGGAAGATGGGGAGAGCGGTTTGAGCAGGACCCCGATTCGCTGTCCCCGATTCCTCCCCTGCCCGAGCTGGAACTTGTTATGACCGTGAAGAGATGATCTTGGAACTAGAGAAGGAGAGGCTAATTTGAAGTTTCTGATAAAAGGATTGATGGTTTGGGTCCCAAACTTTGGGTTTTGGGACCTCTGCCCATTGTTGCTCTTCTTGCAGCTATTTGGACTGGTCTTCTCTGAGAGTATGACCATCTCAAGACAAGAGAGCCAAAGATAACTGCCCATTACAGGACCTCCAGTGAAATGGCTAGACAGGCTGACGTTCAGCCAATACTTAAACTTTGTTTCATTTTTCTGTCTTCTGTGCTGGCCAAAGACCTCCATCCATGATGCTGAAGAGAAGGGGCGATAGCAGATGCTCTTTGCATTTTCCTGATGTCAAAGAAAAATCTATTTTTGCATAATTGAGATTGTTTTTATTTACTTATTTTTAAAGATTCTATTTATTCATGAGAGACCTGCACAGAGTGAGACAGAGGCATAGGCAGAGGGAGAAGCAGGCTCCCTGCAGGGACTCCATTCCAGGACCCCAGGATCACAACCCAAGCCAAAGGCAGACACTCCACCCCTGAACCACCCAGGTGCCCCAAGATTGTGTTTAGTATTGATTTTTGTTGGTATCACCGGCTTGATCACTTTCATAGCATATGTAAATATTAAGGTCAGAGAAGTGAAGGACTCAACAAACACATCACCTGGGAAAAGCCAATAGCGTTTTCTCAATCATGGGATTCATTGAAACTCAGTGCAGTGAGAATACAAGGCAGAGAGGTCAGCTGCATTTTCTAGAATGGGAAGCAATAGTGGATGGCCATGCATAAGGCCGCTATGCATGAGCTGGTCTGAATAGGTGCTGGACTGTCTTGCCCAGGACAGTTGACTCCATCGGTCTCAGGATGCTACACACTTGAGACAAAGTTCTCTCCGGCACTGGTTCTCCGAGTGTGGCCCTTGCTCTCAATTGTATCCACTTTTAAGAGTTCAAGAAAGCTGACCACTTGATACCGACATCATAACCATGATAGTGTGGGCAATTGAGTTAGCTTTGCTTCTTGAAAAAGTACTTTTTTCCTTAGTGAGTCTATCTTTCTGTATATGGTTTTAAGGATACAGAGCACTGTCTGAAATGATTGATACGTGTAGTCATTTGAGCTCTTCAGTAGCAATGCTTTTAAATAGCCTGAGTATCTTAGCTGGGAGTTTGTATCAATTAGGTCAGAAACTATGCTCTACTCAGAGTCTCCTACCAGCAGTTCTCAAGGGCTTCTCAGGAGGCTCCTGTGTCAGCTGGGGCTACTCCAGTCCACAACCATGGTGAGTGCAGCTGTCACCTGCAAGTTTTGGTCCTTGGACACATTCATGGGGAGAGTGTCCGCCACTCTTCCTCTGCCTCCCTTTAGCACTGTAGTCCTCACATGAATATAGACTTTTTCTCTGATATTAGACCAGTCTGTGAGTTTATTAAGACTTTGCTGAAGGCTGGGGATTGCAAGGGGCTTTCACACAAAGAATAATTTACAATTGACTACTAGCTATGGTTGTTCTTAAAGCCCTCAGTTCCTAATCTGTCCTCCTGGGGCCTCTATAGGACTGCATTTATGTTCAGAGCATACTCTTCCCCCTAAAGGAAGAATCTAGGTTTTCTCCAACACCCAGAAACACCTCAAACATGCCTTAATTCCCCAGAGTCTAGGCCCAAGTCAAGGTGCTGGGAGAGGAAGGAGTTTCCTTCTCAGCTCCATTTTAGGACTGTCTTCCGCATTTTCTGTTCCTGTCTTTTACTATTAAGGAGGACTGCTGGGTGTAGTGTCTGCTTCCTTTAGTGGAGACTCTGACCCCACCCACACAATATTACCTTATGTCTCCATTAGTACATCCCTTCAGGACAAAATAGAGCAATATTTATGTAAAATATATGTACTTACTCTTAGGGGTTGATAGCATCTTCTGCAAAAGATGTTGAAGTTCTAACCCCTGTACATGTGAATGTGGTTCATTTGGAAATAGGATTTTTGCAAATGATCAAGTTAAGATTGAGGTCATTAGGGTAGGTCCTAGACTAATATGTCCTTATAAAAAAACTTTTGGAGAAAAGAGCTCTTTTCATTCATTAAAAAGAATGATTATGATGGGAAAGAATAGTGTTTTCAACAAACGGTACTGAGACAACTAGATCCACATGCAAAAGAAAGAACTTGGATTCTTACCTCATGTAATACACAAAAATTTACTCAAAATGGGTAATAGACCAAAATGTAAGAGCTAAAACTATAAAACTCTTAGAAGAAAACATAGTTGTAAATTTCTGTGGTCTTAGTTTAGGTATTCGCTTCTTAGACATGACACCACAAGAATGAGCAACAAAAGAGAAAATAGGTAAGTTGGGCTTCATTCAAATTAGAAACTTCTGTGCTTCAAAGGATGCCACTGATAAAGTGAAAAAAGGACCCACAGAATAGAAACAAATATTTACAAATTATATGTGCACAATTGTATAACTCTTATAACTTAATAATTAAAAGACAAAAAGCCCAATCAAAATGGGCAAAGAATTTGAAAAGCTATTTCTTCATAAAGGATATACAAAAAACCGATAGCACATGAAAAGCTGCTCAATGTCATTAGCCACTAGGACAGTGAAAATCAAAACCGCAATGAGGGGGATCCCTGGGTGGCACAGCGGTTTGGCGCCTGCCTTTGGCCCAGGGCGCGATCCTGGAGACCCCGGATCGAGTCCCACATCGGGCTCCCGGTGCATGGAGCCTGCTTCTCCCTCTGCCTGTGTCTCTGCCTCTCTCTCTCTCTCTCTCTCTGTGACTATCATAAATAAATAAATTAAAAAAAATTAAAAAAAAAACCACAATGAGATACTATTTCACACTTAGTGGGATGACTCAGTTGAAAAGACAATAACAACTGTTGGTGGGGACGTGGAGAAATTGCAAGCCTCGTGCACTGCTGGTGAGAATGTAAAATGGTTTAGCCATTTTGGAAAACAGCCCGGTAGTTCCTCAAAAATTTAAAGGTGGAGTTACCATTTTAACTTTTACCATTTCAACCTTCCCAAAGGCTAGGTTGTTTTGTTTTAAATAGGACATCCACTGTGCGATCCAGGTTGCATTTCCACAAAGCTTTGTGGGGATTTCCTTCCAGAAGCCCTGAGTGAGTGGAGATCACCTGCCTTGCAGTTCTCTCAAGAGTCTAAACCCATCCTTCTGCAGACAGGGTCTGCTGAGGTCCACGCTCCTCTGCTATGCAGGTAAAGCTCCATAGGACCACACAGAAAATTTAGATTCTTGGCACCAGAGTAGTTCCATGACCTCTGCTTATCTGTGGTGTCCATTTCTTCTAGAAGGTGTTTCCATAGGATTAACTTTCCACTGGTAAATGGTGCATTTCACCTAATCTTGAAAATATGTGTTTTGTTTTCCAGATCTCTTCTGTTGCCAGTTAGCGGAAATAGAGGTATTCCCATCTTTTCAACATAGAATCTGATTCCTGGGTCCGGCTATAGCAGCAGAGGGCCACTTCCTTCTCTAAGAAGAACTGGAACAGGTTATTTCTACCTGGGACGTCCCTAAACATGGTAGGTTTGCCCTTTGACTTCTTTCCCACTCGGCTCAAGGTCCTTTATGGGTTCATCTGGGCTGCTAAGCCTAAAGTCAGCTCCAAATGTATCCTATTCAAATGTTCATGCCAGAGGGATCATCCCTCCCTTGTCAGATCTGTCTACCATGGCTCTGCATAAAACAGAGTAGGAGGAGGAAGAAGAATTTACAGTGTGAAAA